AGATAGATAGATAGATAGATAGATAGATAGATAGATAGATAGATAGATAGATAGATAGATAGATAGATAGATAGATAGATAGATAGATAGATAGATAGATAGATAGATAGATAGATAGATAGATAGATAGATAGATAGATAGATAGATAGATAGATAGATAGATAGATAGATAGATAGATAGATAGATAGATAGATAGATAGATAGATAGATAGATAGATAGATAGATAGATAGATAGATAGATAGATAGATAGATAGATAGATAGATAGATAGATAGATAGATAGATAGATAGATAGATAGATAGATAGATAGATAGATAGATAGATAGATAGATAGATAGATAGATAGATAGATAGATAGATAGATAGATAGATAGATAGATAGATAGATAGATAGATAGACAGACAGACAGACAGACAGAGACAGATAGATAGAGACAGACAGACAGACAGATAGAAAGAGACATACAGACAGACAGACAAACAAACAAACAAACAGATAGAGACAGACAGACACACAGAGGCAGACAGACAGACAGACAGACAGACAGACAGACAGACAGACAGAGACAGACAGACAGACAGACAGACAGACAGGCAGACATATAGAGACAGACAGACAGACAGACAGACAGGCAGACAGATAGAGACAGACAGACAGACAGATTCAGACAGACAGACATAGACATATAGGCAGAAAGAAAGACTGTTATATACTTTAGACTAGGATTTGGCTGGTGATTTTGATGATGAAAGCCTCAGATAGAGAGAGAGTACAGGCGGGAGAGGGGATGTGGTCCAGTCATGGAAACAGGGCTCTACTGGTGGTTGCCAGGAGACAGGCAGAGCGGGATATATTGCCTCTTAAGTGATAAACAGGCTGAGAGGAGCCATCTTTGCGTTGTGTGCCATAAGCGAAGGATATGGCTTGATATGAAAGATTTAAAAGCCTAGATATGTAACAGCCAGATTCTTATTTCGAACACTGCCAATATGCACATTTGTGTCTCTTGGGAAATGCCATGATAGGTTTTGTGTTATCATCAGTGCCACGATAATCTAGCTATTTTATTTCTTGAATGTTTCTATATACTAGTCTGTCCAGAATTGTTCCTCTATTGCAAGCTTTTATTTGTACTATTTGGTGTCCATTGCCAACTGCAGTTGATATTTAGTGCATGCAAACTGATTTAACAAACAAAATGGTTATGTTGACGGTACAACATTATATTCTAACCAAATGCAATGCAATAAAGCAACAAGCAGCAAAAAACATTTATTCTAAGCAAATCAGAGTTTTTGTCAATCACTTAGTTTCTGTTTATGTTATGTTGAGCTGGTTAGCCCCGCCCATGGTGAAATCTCATTGGTCCAAAATCATACTTCACAATGACTGATTATCTATAAATGTGTCATGTCACATAAGCATTTTCGCTTTCAGTATGGACAGTCAGATTTGCTATAAACGTTGAGTCACAGCTGGTTAGGACAGGCAGACCTCAGCTATGTGCTACTACACAGTGTTAATGTCAGTTCATTTACTATTACCATACCATTATATTAAGTTACTGTACATCTCAAGTCACACGATGCTAGATCACCACCAAAAGGTGTTTTTTCCTGCTTGTGCGGTTTGTGTCATGATCTCTTTTTTTTATTACTGCTCTTTTCCTGTATTATATTCAAATGCTACATTGCAACAAACAACATAATATTCACATCTTTAAAGGCATGCATTCATTTTTTACCACACTGCCATAATGTAGAAAAGAAAGGAAAATTGATTAAAAAAAATTACTTTTTTCTGTCCCCACAACAAACACTGTATTACAGCAGTTACAGCACTTTGTCAGAAGGATTATTTTGTTGAATTATTTCAGACACAAACAGCCTCTTTTATTAGTTTACCCTATGAAAAAACTAGCAGCATTTTTCAGCTTTATGCAATGCACAGTCTGGCTCTTACCACAGCATATGACAAAAGTTTTTGCAGTGAATACACACTGACAGTCTAGGAGTCTTGCTAATGAGTATCATCTAGGTTGTATTCCTTTGTACTGTATGTATTTGTCTTCCTTGCCCAGGTTTGCCAGCCATGGGGAACCTCATTAAGGTCCTTGGCAAGGATTTAGAGAACTGTCCTCATTTTTTCCTGGATTTTGAAAGTAAGTTTTTCGCTGGTGTACGGTGTGTGTACGTGTGCTCGGATGTGTGTATGTGTGTGTGATTGGAGATGGAGCTATCAGGGTTGGAGCAGGTGTAGACGCATCCTCTAGGTGGATTAAGACAGACTGAAGATTTTTTTTTGCTTTTGGAAACTGTTTCTTTTTGCTTTCTTCACGATTGTGTTCACTCGTGTCCATTTATGTATAGAAAGAGAGCAGCAAGAAGGAGTTTCAGTGTGACCATGTGACCATATCAACATCGCCCGAGAATCTCGACACCTAAAGTCCATCCCACACCCTATACGCCCCGACCCCCATCCCAGACTCCACGCACATTCACACGAACACACACCCAACACCAGACACAGGTCTGCCACATCTCCCATGACCCACATGCTTCTCCCTTCTCTCTGTTCCAGGGGGATCATGGGAAATCTCCTGAAACTGCTGGCTTGCACCGAACTTGAGCATGGCCCAATAGTTTTCCTTGACTTTGAACGTGAGACCATCAGCTTCTTATGTTTTGAGTTTGCTTTTCTTTCCCATTTGATCATGGTTCCTCCTCATTCGCTGTCCTCTACATTTTCACTTCCTTTTCTCCGCCATCCCTCTGTTTGTGCATCAATGCCTGGCATTCAAGTGTTTTTCGGTGACCTCGATTTGTGATGTGACTTTTTTTGCGCTCCTCTCCAGGTCGGCTGTGATCCGCTGAACTAAAGGTCGTCGTATGAATGCCATGCTTTTTTTTTTTTTTTAGCAGTTAGAGCGGGATGGAAAGCATAATCACATAACACTTAACTTATCTCCTCTTTTTCACCCAAACCTTTGCAGACTTGTAAAGTGCGTTGGCTCCATAATCTGTTCCTGTGTGTCCTGTGCATCTGGATGTGTGTGTGTGTGCGTGTGTGAATGCATTATTAACCAGTCTGAGGATTTAAGGAAGTGGGAATGGAAGCTGCCTATTGAAAGGGGAGCCTCAATTTCCTTTTTCTCTGATGCTGTGTTCCCTTTTAACCCTTACCTAAGCACTTCTCTCCCTCCTGAGTAATCCTTCCTTTTATGACACCTCTAACAGCTACATGCCTAACATCTCCTTTTTTATGGAGGAAATAAAACTCCTGTCCCTCAAGTGTGAGAACCCGGAAGACTTAGAGTGGTTGTTGTCCAGTCTATAACATAAAATGTAGGCTGTCCTTGCTCTAAGAAATTAATTGGTTGGAGACATTCTTGAAGTGACACAAGACACAGTGTAATGCATTTGTCTGTAATACATTATAGGGTCAATGACATAGGTTCATTTTCTTTCAAATATATTGATCTGAATACACCTCTTGTATGATGGACATCTGTTCCATTTCCAAATGTTGATTTTTTTTATGTAAAAAAATGTCTCTAAAATAAAAAAAGTTAAATAATAATAATAATCTTTATTATTTCTTAAAAAGCAGTAAGACAATTTTATTTAAAATTATTTTATATTATTAATAAAATATATTATAATTGGTGTAAACAACGTTACCAAGACAAGACAAGAAAACCATTAAAAAAAAAAGAAATAATAATCACAGTGATGACCCATGTAGACTTGCATAACATTTAAGTTTCTTAAAAATATCAGATAATTTGACAAGGCAGAAAGTTTGGTTGTCAAAAGTCAAACTGCTAAAACGTAATTGTATTCAAGAAACACTCTCAAAAAAAATAAAAATAAAAATAATGTTATATAAAAAGATCTGTTACTTTAATTTTTTTTTTGAAAATTATAATTATTACTCGCATGCATTTAAGGTGTAAGGAAAATATGTAAAATACTTTTCTTGATGGTTATACCACATGATTTAAGTAATGTTATAGTAATTT